GTGTTACACTTGGTGGTTGGCACATTTGAGCAAGGGTGAAGAAGTTAGAAGTGAAATGGAGTTGATCGCAGTGATGTTGGCGTCGGTCAACTGACCGGACGCTGGGTTGCTCTGCGACCGGACGCTGAAGGGGCACGTCCGGTCGAGTGGTCGGTCGGCATAGTAATTAGGGTTAAGCACCGGACGCTGGGCTGTATCCGGTCAAGCATGACCGGACGCATCCGGTCGGCAAAAACTCGTTTTGGACCCTTACTGTAAACAACCGGACGCTGAGGGTTCAGCATCCGGTCAACTCTGTCGGAGTGTCCGGTCAACATTTCGACCATTGAGATCAAACGTTCACAGTTTAATGCAGGTGACATGTGGCCGCCATCGGGCGACCGGACACTGAGGATCAGCGTCCGGTCAGTAAGACCGGAGCGTCCGGTCACCCCGATCAGTACCTAGTGAAGGGGTACAACGGCTCTATTTCGTGGGGGCTTCTATTTAAGCCCCATGGCCGGCTCAAGCTCACTCTCTTGGCCATTTGCATTGACATAGCAACCTTGTGAGCTTAGCCAAAGCCCTCCCACTCATTTCCATCATAGATTAAACATCTTTGTGAGATTGGGAGAGAATCCAAGTGCATTGCTTGAGTGTTTGCATCTAGAGGCACTTGGTGTTCGTGTTTCGCTGCGAGATTCGCTTGTTACTCTTGGTGGTTGCCGCCACCTAGACGGCTTGGAGTAGCGAGGATCATCGAGCGGAGGGTGGTGATTGTCTCCGGCTCCGATCGTGGTGATTGTGAGGGGTTCTTGACCTTTCCCCCGATGGAGCGCCAAAAGATACTGTAGTGGATTGCTCGTGGCTTGTGTGATCCTCATCTTGTGTTGGTTGTGCGGCACCCTATTGAGGGTTTGGCGTGTGAAGCCAATTAGCGCGTGAACCTCCAAGTGAGTGAATCGCCACAACGAGGACTAGCTTGCCGGCAAGCAAGTGAACCTCGGTAAAAAATCATTGTGTTCATCATTGATTCTGAGGTGATTGGTCTTCATTGTTATCCACACTTGTGATTGATTGGTTCACACATCTACACAGCGGTATAACCTTCTTGCCTACTCATTATATTACCGCAAACTAGTTATCAGGCTCTTTAGTGTAACTAGGTGTGAGAGCTTGTTAGTTTGGTTAGTGTGGCTCTTTTGTTAGCTTTTGAGAGCACACTAACTTAGTGTAGTGATATAGCTATTGTGTGGATATACTTTATCTAAACTAGAATTGTGGTAGGTGGCTTGCATTTTGGTAGGCTAGCGCATAACTCGCTTCACCTCATAATTGTCTAATCCTTTTGTTAAGTGTTGTTGTAGAAATTTTATTAGGCTATTCACCCCCCCTCTAGCCATTAGGACCTTTCACCGGCCTTGTTATGTTACTAGTACATCACGCGCGCCATCGCGCGCGTCGGCGATTAAACAGGAAATCAAATGGTACAGGTAAGCATAGTAAGTACTGGTAAATGCAGCGCAGAGGTACAAAGTGTACTTATATTACATGGATGGATGTCATGAAGTCGGTAATGTTTCGAGTTGTAAGGCTAGGGTAGTGTTGCTGACATACCACAACAGTGCACGCCATATGTCGAGAGACAGGTTATAGCTTGGCATAGAGTCTGGTACAGTACAGTTAGCAGCAGGTAGGAGTCCTAGCTTCATAACATTAGATAGTCGAATCCTAGACTATACAAGAATGCTGACGATGAGGTCCAAAAGCGCACAGATTGCGTCGCGGTATAGTAACCTAGGCAGCAAAGGTTTGAACCGCCGTTGTAAATACCAATGTACATTGTATTGAAGATGAGCTTGGCTGTAGGCGCTGTGGCGGCCATGCACAAGGCGATGCACCAAGGGGTTTCCCAAGCTGTACAAAACATCAGATAGGTTGAGGTGACAATAGCAGCATTGAAGAAGGTGACTTTATAAAACTATGACAATATGTATCTAAAAACTTGTTTCACTTTTTCTGATTGCCTAATGATGATTTGCGTCCACCAGACTTGGCATGTGGCTTAGTATCTTGGCCTCTTGGCCTGGAAGCAGAGCATATTTATTATTGTTGAGGAAGTTGAACAGAAGTATTATATCCTCATGTTCTAACTCATCACTTTAAACAGTCTGGCAAAAAATGTGAATCTCCGATCCATAGTTAGTGTTTAAAACCTTTTTGCTCGACTGTCTAGGTGGTCCTCTGGATGCTGTTCCTGTGTATCCTTATCGTGTCCGGTGATCTGGACGTCTATGTTGAGTTCCTAAGAGGTCTGATGAGCAGATTCAGCGAAGGTTGTTTGATCCTATAGGAAATGTACGTCATCAACAGAGGTCGCTGAGCATAGTTAATAGGAAGTCTGTATTCACATTTGTTATGTGTGCGAATGCAGGTCTAGCATCAGTATGTGCGGTGTACACTTTAGGGGGAAAAAGATATGATTTGTGGATACAAAGAGGACAAACCTCCTCATGAGTAGACTGCTCCTCAAACAGCTTCCTCTTTGCAGCTTTCTTTTCAATATGGGTCGACGACTTTGCCGGGCTGGGAATCATAGCATGAGAAATTGCGAATCGGCAAGTAATGTTTGATTAATTAATCAGTGGTAAGTGTCAGCTGTAGTACTTTAAATATAGCAGGCATCTATAATAATCAAAGGCAGTACTGCACAATAGACTAATACATAACAGTGGGGTAGTGATATAAGATCATCAGAAGCAATACTAATTCTGGTGATGAAATAAACACAATTACACAGTACTACTACTTTCATGTCACCAGAAGAAAAGGACGGTTGCATGTACAAGGATTAAAATTTATCAATGTGCATCCACCTGATGGTTTCATGTTGTGCTATTCATGATTCGCATGACGATCTTACACTACAAAGGTCAGCAGCCTACTAACGTTCTAGCAGTAAGAATAATTTGTAGTAATTTAATCTTTAGTGACTTACTGGGTCTAATAGGAACATAGCAAGAACATTTTTTTCATATATTATGAGTGCGCAAATTTTGACAGTATAGCGTAAAATAGGTAACTCATGGGAAAAGAACAGCACACAGTTAGATAGTTCCGAAAATAAAAGTGGTAAAGTAATTAGTAATTGAGTTAGGAAATGGCAAGGCATGACCAGTGTCACAGTAAGGCTGACACAAGAAAGAGGTCAGTCTTGGTTGAATTTCACAAAACTTTTCAAGGTATGAACACTAATTCCCAGAGATACCATATGTCAACCATCCCTCAGAGGGTCAGACCAAATCATCTCCTGGATTATATAAACCATCTACCATTCAAGCTATTTTGCGCAGTCATTGTTAAACAGCGGGCAAGTTCTAGGCCGACTTTTTTTTTGTAAGCAGCAGACAACCGTAAGGACTCAGTAAACACTGGATCTGAGGCCGGCAACAAAGCCAACAAAATTACCGAGAGTGAGAGGAAGGTAAGTCCCATCCACAGCGCATCTGCAAGAGGCACCTACATAGTCGATCCAGAGCAGCGACGCAACGACAGGGCCGAAACCTGTAAACAAATTCAAGTATTAGTACATACATCAGAAGTGAAATCAGTTTGGAAAACAAAAGGAATGGAAAAAGGAGTTAAGGAGTGAAGCACAGAGAAGGGGAAAAGCGCTGTGGAGACCACACCGGTATGAAGTGCAGGTCCCCAACTCTACCAAAATAGCAAAGGAGGAGAAGAAAATAAACGCGGTTGGAAGCAGGGTATACGAAGCAGGAGCAAGCAGGGCCATGGCGCAGGCAGGACAAACAGGGCCGACTGGGGCTGTAGCGCGCAAACCGCAGTCGCAAGAAATACACGTACAGCAGCGGCAAGAAACACGGCGACGCAGCACGCGTGGCCGAATCGGGCAATACGTCCAGGGTGGAGGCGGCCAGAACAGCGCGGGCACCCACACCGCCGCACGGAAACCCTAGGCGAGAACAACAGACGAATACCCCTTCGAAGAACGATGGCAACGAAGCACGGACGGCTTAGATCTGGCACAGGAGCACGCTGCAGGACGAGCACGTCCCATCAAACAAAAGCGCAAAAGCACGGAAAAGAGAAGGGGAGGAGGAAAGGAAGGCAGATGCGGAACAAACGGGGAAGACAGAAATCCAATCGGCACGGCAAATCAAGGAGGAGAAAAGGAGCGTGAGACAAACCCGGTAAACAGAGGAGCACGGGACCCACGGAGGCGGCAACGATGGCGACGGCGGAGAGCAAGGAGCGGGCGATGACGGAAGAAACACGGAAAGGGAGACGGACACTGGAAGGGCCCAAGGCGGCGGCGTAGTGGGATGGGAACTAGAAAGACCGAATGTAGGCGAACGGGAGCGGCCACGGCTACATAGTAGCTGGGACGGGCGTGAGCCGTGAAAATGAAGATCCACCGACCAAAGTAAGTTTGCTACCCTGCCCTGAGCGACGGGGAGGCTCGCCGGAGCGACGGGGAGGCTCGCCGGCTTAATGATAGTAAATAGGCCGCAAATGCCCCCAGCCGTTCTCCATCTCCACTCGGCCTCTCCCGTCTCTTCCGCACCAGCGCACCATACCCCGGCCCGGTCACACCCGTCAGCCGTCGGTGGGCCACCCGCGTCTCCTTCCGCCGGAAGGGGAGAGATTGTCGCCCTCCTTCCCCGCGACGAGGCGAGAGAGAGAAGGCAGCAGCTGCCGCACGCCAGAGCGATCGATCAGCGCGAGAGGGTGGGGGCGCGTGACGAGACCGCCGAGCCGAGCGGAGTCGGATCCATGGCGGCGCCAGCATCCACCGCCGCCTCCGTCGACGGCAACAGCGATCGTCCTCCTCCACCCTCGCTTCCTCCCCCGCACTTCCATTTCCACCCCTCCTGCTACCTACTCATCTCGAGAGGCGCCCGCGCGCGTTTCCGATGACGTTGTCGATTGCTCACATTCCCGATCGCGCGCTCAGTGTCTACGTTTGTATGTGCAGCGAAACCGCTCTCCTCAAGGCCGACATGGAGGGGGACCTCCCCGCGTCAAAAGGTACCCACTAGCCCACCGTATTCTCTCATCACCGTGTATCGACCGATTGCAAAGTTTGTTGGGCCCTTGCGTGCTCCCATGCGGAATCTGATTACCCTAGCTAGCGAGTCCAGTTCAATTTGGTGTTGGCTTGTCACATGTAAACTTCGCCTCCGTCTTTGGGGTCGATCTGCAATTAGTGACTGCTGGTGCACCTGTCCACACTATTTCATCACCTCGTGTCTTTGGAGTTCTTTTTAAATGTTATTATGCTAGCTGTATGTGTCTGCTCCGATCTTATCATGACTTTTTTTTCTCGTTGCATATCACTGTATTAAGGTAGAAATTTGAGTTTGACAACGCTCATGACTTAAAAGTGGCCTTTGGATTAGTGGTGTAGTAAATGACAAATTACTCTGTTGCCTAGTGGATGCAACATTATATTGCACCCTTAGTTCATTGGTCTTAACTCTAATCCTTGACCAGTATGGGATGCGCCATTTCCACAATTATGTTCCAGTTCCAGCCTCTTCAGTTTGCGCCTTCTCAAGTACTCTAGTCTAAACAGAAGCCTTTGCATATGCGTCTTGCAGAATGCCCTGTGCTTGCTGCATCCTGCTCTGTTATCTTCACGTTAGTGATTTTATTTATTTATTTACTTTTTTGCATTTGCTTTGGGCAAACGGCACCATAAAGACTCTTGGCATTGGAATTGGCAACCGAGAAGTATTCCTTTTATTTTTACCACATAGGTCTTTGAAATATGTGTGGGCAGCCCCAGTGCACGAAGCTCCTGCTTGCGCAGGGTCCGGGGAAGGGTCCGACCACTTGGGTCTTTTGTACGCAGCCTTTCCCTACATTTCTGCAAGAGGCTGTTTCCAGGACTTGAACCCGTGACCTCATGGTCACAAGGCAGCAGCTTTACCACTGCGCCAAGGCTTCCCTTCGTCTTTGAAATATGTGTGCATTGCCAAATATACCACACAGGTCTTTGCAATATCTGTGTCTTGCCGAATGTTGCATGCTTGCTGCATCTTGCTTAGTTACATTCGCATTAGTGAGCTTTTGGCTGGCCATTATATGTTGCTTATTTGCTTCCTTACTGGTGATTTATTCTTGCATATGCTTTGGGCAAAAGGTATCATAAAGACCCTTGGCATAGGGATTGCCAACCGAGCAGCAGTGTTTTCTATTACTGAAAAACATGGTTTTGGGGTGCTGCACTGCGCGGCATGCCAAGGACATCTGGACGTTTGCAAGTACCTGGTCGAGGAACTTGGGGGTGATCCTAATATCACTGGATATAAAGGTCCTTCACTAACTCTTCAACCCTTCTGAGCCGCCTGTCATGTATTACTTTCATCACTTGGCTGTATGAGATATGTAAAATGTGCTTTTATGCTTTTCGTTGCAGGTCTGACACCGATTATGGCTTCTGCTCAATCTGATGATGTTTCAACTGTGAAGTATTTACTTGGTCATGGTGGTGAACTAATGAAATCAGATGACCAAGGATGGACTGCTCTACACCATGCTGCGTCCACAGGTTCCTCTCCGCTACATATGCACATGCCAGTTCTGTTTTGTTTTATTAAGTATGTTAGTGTGCAGGGAACAGTTGAACTGCAATAGAATTATAGAAGTTCTTTCGACTTGAAATGTGATGGTTTCATCTTTCATGTGGCTAGCTAATTGCTAGTTGTTTGTTTTTGTTATGTTACTACTGGCAAAAATTGGTTGGTTCACTGAACCATACTGTGCATGCGTGTAGTGCTGCAATTTTGTCATTACTCACAGCCACTGTCATGTTTATTACTATCTACTCTGTTTATTCTGTTCTCATGATTTATGGGATTGTTTTGCGCACTGCAGGATCCTGTAATGTAACAGAGTTCTTGCTTTCTAAAGGAATACCCGTCGACATATATTTTTGGCTATGGGACACCACTACATCATGCTTCTGCGGCCGGGCAGGATAAGATTGTGAAGATTTTATTGGATCACCATGCAAATGTGTGTGGTCCCTTTCTGTTTCTTATATATTATTAGTGTCTTAAAATATATTTTAAACACTTAAACATGCATGTTTAGTACTTGTTTGGCAAACTAGGCAATAAGGTGAGATGATCAACTAGGAACACTATATATAATTCTACCCCTTCACTCATTGTGTATGTTCTATCCAATGAAAGTTGGACCCTTCATCTTTCCAGAGCTACCATCATATGACTGTTACATGCATTAGAAGCACAGTGGTAGAACTGATTTATCTCTGTAGTTCCTCTTGTGATTAGATGACATGACTATAGATTTTGGGTTTCCTTGTTACTCAAGAGACAAAGGAGAAATGCTCATAGTCTTCTTTCAGCCCAACTGCATATTCAGTGGCGTTGGCACTCCACTGATGGGAGCTCTTGTAAACCGTTCATTGAAGTGCATGAAGCTACTCATCAAGGCTAGTATCTTTCTTGACTTTGTTTCTTCAACTACTGTTGTGTGGATATTTTGCTTACTCAAACCATCTGTAGCAATTTTATTTTACTGTTGTACAATGCTTTTTATAGGCTAGTGCTGATGTTAATGGAAAAAGGTACTATTACATCTCCTCTGTTGATCGCTACAGAAAAGGGAGGTCATACCAACTTCATCCGATTATTGTTGAAGGCTGGAGCAGACCCTAACATTCCAGATGATGTAAATTTTATATTTTACATTTCTAAATGTCCTCCTGATTATGCTATCCTTACTTTATATCATTAGAGTTATCAAAGAATGCTCATGATGTGGCTACTTCTTTGTATAACTGATGGAGAATGGAGACATGTAAAATAGGATAGAACTAGAAATTCTTGTTATTCATTTGGTCTTTACTCTTGTCTAATACATCTCTTGTATTCATCTATGCACCAGTTGTTAATAGTGTATTTTTAACTGCACCACACATTGTAGTGGATGCCATGGGATACCAGGCATGTATGTTTGCATGTTTTATTTTCTATATATCAAATTGAGAGTATATCTGCTGGGTTAAATCCTTCTTGAAACATCTTGTTCCAAAATTCTCTGTATCTTGGTTCTTTGAATGATTCCACACACCATTTGGGTTACTTGTTGAATTTGCCATTAATTTTCGCAGAAATGACAATCCTCTCCTCCTGTTGCAGTTGGGTAGGTTGCCAATAGAGCTTGCTGCAATAAATGATTGTAGAGAAGAAGTTGAAATGCTATTTCCCTTGATTTTGCCAATCCCTAATGTCCCAAACTGGAGTATTGATGGAGTAATCTCGTATGCAATATTTGAAAACGCAAAGCCATTGGTATGGTACTTATAGCTGTAATGCTTTTTCATACAATAATCTATAGATACCCTTTTATTCCTAGTTTGAGGTTACTTTTTGGACCTTTAATCATGAATCGTTCCCTTTGAATCTCTTAATGTTCGAGTATAGTTCCTTCTAAGACCTTGCCTTTCAAGTTTATGTACAAATAGAACCCCTCATTAATAAATAAAACTCGAATTTGAGTTTTTTTTGTAAGTGGTGTGTTTGTAACTGAACTTTGGTGGGAGCTGGCCTCTGGCCTCTCCTTGTTTTTCTTTCTCTTCTTAAAGAAATGACATGCAGTTCTCCTGCATCGTTCGAGAAAAAAATAAAACTACTGACTATATTACACATTCTTCCCATATGTCAATTTATTATGGACAGGAACTTGAACACTCATCTGCATTACCAAAAGTTCTCCCCATTTCTGATACACATACTGTGTCTCTGTGGCTGCTGAAGATTGCAGGCTAAGAGCTCTAAGTGTATAAGCATATACACTTGCATTTCTGCATATTAAGCATATGAAAGAGCAAGCCATCTAGGTCCCAATAAATGCAGATTTTAGAGATAAAGATGTTTAAGTTTCTTTGCTTTTGGAAATCATCATAGACAAATTTCACTCTAGGATTCAAATGTTCAATCAGGGTAGCATTTAACTTTTGTTGTTTGATTGTTTAGAATGAACAGCAGATTGAAGGAAGAAAAGCTTTCCTCAAATCACAGGCAAGTATGGCATTCAAGAGGAAGGATTATGAGTTGGCATCGAAATCTTATAGTTTGGTAAGTCTTTGCACAATATCTGGAATGGTTTAAGATTGTCCCATTTTGTTAAAAAAGGCACCAACTGGAAAATGTTATTGCTGCTCACAGTGTTTTGGTAAGTTATTAGAAAAGTTGATGCTGAATTGCCCCCTCCCCCCCACATGAACATGTTTTTCATTATGATAAGTTCAGAAGTACATCGGGCTCATTAAGGACATGTACAACAATGTTGTGACTAGAGTTCGAACAAGTGATGGAGACACGGATGACTTCCCGATTAGGATAGGACTACATCAAGGGTCAGCTTTGAGCCCTTATTTGTTTGCTTTAGTGATGGATGAGGTCACAAGGGACATACAAGGGGACATCCCTTGGTGTATGCTTTTCGCGGACGATGTAGTGCTAGTTGATGAAAGCCGGACAGGAGTGAATCAGAAACTGGAGTTATGGCGGGAGACTTTGGAGTCCAAAGGTTTTAGACTTAGTAGAACTAAAACTGAGTATATGAGATGTGACTTCGGCACTACTACTCGGGAGGAGGAAGATGTTAGTTTGGAAGGTCAAGTAGTGCCTAGGATGGATACCTTTCGATATTTAGGATCAATGCTACAGAGGGATGGAGATATTGATGAAGATGTTAGCCATAGAATCAAAGCAGGGTGGATGAAGTGGCGGCAAGCGTCTGGTGTCCTATGTGACAAAAGGGTACCACAGAAGCTAAAAGGCAAGTTTTATAGGACGGCGATTAGACCTGCTATGTTGTATGGTGCAGAATGTTGGCCTACGAAAAGACGACATATTCAACAGCTAAGTGTCGCGGAAATGCGTATGTTGCGTTGGATTTGCGGGCATACAAGAAGGGATCGAGTTCGGAACGATGATATACGTGAGAGATTAGGGGTAGCGCCAATTGAAGAAAAGCTTGTCCAACACCGGTTGAGATGGTTTGGACATGTGCAACGGAGACCTTCAGATGCACCGGTGCGTAGTGGAATCCTAAGTCAGGATAGTAACGTGAAGAGAGGCAGAGGAAGACCGAAGTTGACTTGGGTAGAGGCAATAAAAGGAGACTTGAAAGGATGGAATATACCCAAAGACTTAGCCTTAGATAGGAATGCTTGGAAGACAGCTATTCACGTGCCTGAACCTTGATTGTTTCTGTTGGGTTTCAACTCTAGCCTACCCCAACTTGTTTGGGACTTAAAGGCTTTGTTGTTGTTGTTGTTGTTGTTGTTGATGGAACACAAAATACCTAGACAAATTGCATATGAAACTGAGACAATGATACTATAAATTGCATTATGGCCATCAGCCCATGAAAGAAGGCACAGTAGGCTGCCGATGATAAATAGCACTGGAAGTACGATTGCATCCAGCCGTGCACACGAAACAATCCTGAACACCCGATGACAAAGTCACATGCTGACTTACTCTAGTACTTGAACCATGAGCTAGTCTGTTGATGCTGAGCTCAGTGCAGTTATTATGTGTTTCGGTGCAGTAATGAGTAGTTTTTATAGTGGGGAAACTAAAATCTGTACCAATCAAGCTGATAACTAATGAAGAATGCCTTGAAGTACACACTCTAAACTCTTTTAAATAGAACGGAATCCAGTTCGAACATGTAGTCCATGTAGATTTTAGGTGGTCAATTGGGAATGACATATTGCTCTCTCCTGTATGCTTGAACTAGAAGATTGTCCTCTCCCACATGCTTGCATTATGAGATTGCTCTCCCACATGCTTGGATTAGGTACTAATGACATTACTTCAAACTTTGTTCATCTCTATAAAGGGCAGCAACATACTACGCCACAGAATGAATCGTTAGCCCACGAAGTCTGTAGACAGGCTACTTATCTATTTTCATGTTCAAAGTCTATACTCTAGATGCAGCTATCAAAATCTAGTTTACACAACTGTTAAATATAGTTTGCACAACTGATAAAATATACCTTTTCTTGTTATTAATTTCAGCTTGGTATAAACCTTGTCCTATAATCTGCCATCTTTTACCACAGATGATACATCGCGCACCAGATGCAACGCTATATTCAAACAGGAGCCTCTGCAAGCTGCTAATGGGTGATGGCGAAGGTGCTCTCTCGGATGCTTATCAGTGCAGGATGATGCGACCTGACTGGGCAAAAGCTTGCTATCGTCAGGCTGCAGCTCACATGCTACTCAAAGTGAGATACACATCTAGCTCTCTATTCTGCATATTTACCCTACAATTACCTGAACATTGTTATGTTTCTTGTGCTTGAATGGATGTGCTACGTCCAGGATTACAAGCAAGCTTGTGACGCTCTCCTAGATGCTCAAAGATTGGATCCTGGGAATGACGAGATCTAAAGAGAGCTACGGTAAAATCTATTTTTTACTCTTTTGAGTGTCTCCTTAAAAAAAATGGTACTAGTGTCTTCACGAAGTACTCGTCATGATAATCACAAGCAGTTGCACAGATCAGCAAACCCAAGCTGGCGAATTTGAACAACGTTTTTTTCCTGAATATTTATTTTCGCCATTCTAGCTACCATGGTTGACTGGTGCTGTGATTACGGTTGATGAGTAGTTGACATTGTGTTTCATTCATTTGGTTTCTTCTGGAAGGCTACGGAATTGATTATGAAGATCAGAGCCGAAGCATAACCACCGGATTACTTCAGCACGTCCTTAGTTAGGAACCGAACGTCCTAGTCTGTTTAGCATGTAGCATTCTGCTAAATGTGTGATGAACACTGTAAGAGGGCAAGGGAGAATTTACAGTGATAAGTCAACTTTAATCAGTTGTCCAAGTGGGGAACCCGAACATGCTACCTGAGAAAAGAGATGTACGTGACTTGGGAAGATACAAGGCGTACTATCTGCATTTCCCTTCTGTCTCAGTCAAGCAATGTATATACTCATGTCCCAGAATAGTAGACATTTTAGGATCTATCACAGATACTAATGACCTTAGTAGACTTAGAAATAGAGATAAAGATGTATTGGGAAAAGAAGAAAAAAATATATTGGAAGAAGAAGAATATGCATTGGGAAGTGAGAATGATAACTATTTTAGGACAAGATTTAAATGCTACAAAGTCAAGTATTTTGAAACAGTAGGAGTACTGAATATGCTGATGGCACTCATCAGAACCAGGGCCAACACAGCATCGGATTCTGCTGTTGAGCATTATGACGAGCAAGATTGGAGAAGCCATTAGGAGGCTTCGTTTGGTTGTTTTGGGTGTGAAACCTTACACCAGAGTATCAAACTGTGGGAGCAATGGCAATGCAAATGCAGACGTGCATGGGTTGGTGGAAATACTTGGCCTTTTGTCGCATAGTTCTACATGCCTATGCCCTATGCTGCTATGTGAGTCACGCCTAAGTCAGGTTCAAGGGACATGACCGGCTATACTACTGAGAAGCAAAACTCTATTAAGGGCGTGTTTAGATCTCTGGACTAAATTTTAGTATGTTGTGGGATAAAAGACTAAACATGGAGTAATAAAAAAAAATTCTAATGAGTTCTAGACATCAGTTAGCCTCTATTAGTTCTTATTAGTCTATGATTAGTTCATACTTAATCCTTCAATTTGGAATCCAAAACCACATCTAAAGTTTAGTTTAGGTGATCCAAACATGCCCTAAGGATTTACAAGCATTTCCATACCATTGCATTTTTAAAGTACTTGGTCAGGGTAGTGATGGGACATTTTTAATTTAGGACTGTCCAGGAAGTCAAATCTCACATATAACTACAAATAAGGGTAATATCGAAAGACAATGCTCAATATATAACGTACTTAGTATAAAAAATATAACCTTAGACAGCAGACAGCGGAAAGACAACTTTGATCTTCAGGTGAAGATTCTAATTTCACAGGGACAACTGACTGATTGATCACAAGCCTAATTTTTTCAAACTCTAGCAATCTGGTACCCATCCGGGATTTTTTCAAAGATTTAAAAAGTAAACAAGCGTAAGTACATGTCATACTCAACAAATATAACATGGGGTTCATGAGACTCAAAAGGCTGATACTGGTTTAACTGCGATTAGCTTTTAATGAGTCATCTTTTAGCAATTGGGTGGCAACAAGTTTATTCACAAGCCCATATAAACACATGATAAGGTAAACATGAATAATGAATAACATAAACAATAATCATTAGTGAGCATCTTTATCATCAGTGTCCATCATCTATTCTATAAGGATTCCAAGGCCGCTCGTGACCGTGAGCACGGCTGTTATAATAGTTTTACAATCTGCAGAGGTTGTACACTTTTACTGTGAGTCATGATTTATCCTTTCACTCGAGATGATCAGCCTCTTGACCACTACAAGGAAGGTCGGTAGGGTTCACTATGAAGTCTTTCAAAGGTTCGTCTAACAAGTTAGGGCCATTAGATTCACTTGACAAACAGATGTAGAAACCCCCTTCCGGATGGCACAATGACACGCAGCCTATACACAAGGGGACAGAGGCCGCACTATATCCGATTCAGCAAGCCATTCTTACGCCAATAAAGGTAACAACTAACAAGCTAGAAAATGTCATCATACTGAGCTAAAGCCAGAGCCATGTAGCCCTCACAGCTGTACTGTAAGTCTCGGATGATCACTTACAGATAAGTCCTTAGAGAGAGGAATCTAGAGTACCATAAAATAGCCCAATGCTCTAGCCCCTTGTTCCATGTTGCTAAAAAGCATCTTTTAATGTTTATTGCATATTACATTAGTCAAGATTACAAGATCATGGTTTTAGTTGAGCATTAGCATCATACTACACAATGCAATACCCCATAGGAATCAAGGTATAGGGTAACAAAATACTAAGAAATCCTTATTGGTAGTCAAGGTAGACACATGCAGTATGAATTAAATGATTAAAGGTGTATAGGACAACAAGGAAGATCCCATGCTATACTTGCTTTAAACTCAGATCCTTCTTCTATTGAACTGTAACCTCCAAAAGGCTTCTTCTGGATCACCAACTTCTTCTATTTCACCAACGTACTTCTCATCGACTGGACATGATCATAAAGTACCACACAAGCATCCATGCAATCATACATGAAGTAAACAATAGAACTAAATTAGAACAGTACACCAAACATATGAAACAAGTAAAAAGGCTTTAAAGATGTTCTACACGTCGCTACGAACACACAGACACGAAAAGCACGCTAATCGGAACTACGATTGTAAAGAAACGACTATAGGATTTTATATTATAAAAGAAAAGAGAGGACTATAAGCTTGATTTATGTTAATTAGGAAAAACTATGTGAGTAGCATTAATTTATATTAAACAAATTATATTTATACTTAAAAACTAAGTTGAAGCTAATCATATTTTATTTATAAATATTTTGATATTATTTATGCCAATTCAACTTTAACTTGCAAATACAAACTGACATGTGAGAACATCTAATCAAATTTGATGTGTGTTTAGACTAACATATTATAATTTAGAAACATATTTATGTTAGCAACTAGTCATGTTAAAACTTATTTGCAAAAGAGCATTGTATATAATTATGTTGCTTTTATTTATAAAAACTAGTTGCATGCATATTAATCAAATTAATATTTAAGCATATATATAAAAGTCACTTGACATGAAAAATGATGACACTAGCATATAGATCACATCGATACGAATCTAACGCAATTGGAACGACTCGAAACGGACTTAAAACGAATATACGACGACGATATTACGAACTGATGCTAATTTCGTAATTACCTCGTCTTCATCCTTTGGCCTCCTGTACAGCCACCACACGGGCATGGCAACAGCAGCTGCGCAGGGGTGAGCTCGACTTGTTGCACGAAAGAGAGGATGGTCGGGCTAGGCAGCGCGGCGGCGATGGCGACGACGAGAGAAGGAGGAGAAAAATCTAATTTACTACACGAGGGATTCTCTAAACTTAGGGCTCCCCTTATGATAGTTTTGGTGTGCTTTGTCCAAGGGGTTGATACATATTTATAGAGAGAAAAACTCTCCATATCTACATCAACTAGCAATATGGTACTAATTGATGTTGCACCCTCAACATTTACTAATGGGTCTAAATAATCATTAAAGCCCATTAGTAAATAAATGCACGGGGCTTCAAGATTTATTAGGATTATTGCACATGGGCTTTGAGCATTGGAAAAAATGAGAGATTTATTATTTTCGGAATTAATGAATTTCGTGGATAAAATAATTCCAGAAAAGTCTAGAATTATTATTAAAGCCGCGAAAAATACTCCGAAAGCTCTAAAAATTTGGAGAAAATTCTCAGAGATATTATGGAACATGAGAAACCCAAATAAAGTATCTGGAGCCCATAATAAGATAATTTGGAGCATCTAAAAATTAAATTATGCTTGCAGTCAAGTAGGAACAAGTTCCAGAAAAAGCTGAAAAAATTCCTGAGAAGTTTGTAGAGATTGATTGATGGATGAGGAACTAAAAGGAGTGATTTGCGTTATAAAGAAAAGATTTTAGGAAGCTCCCAACGAAAACATGAGCCGAAAAACAAAGAATTTGATTGTAGAAAAAGATAAAGGTATGCCGGAGAAGAAAAATCGACCTACTAAAGTATTTTAAAGACTTTGCTCACTCTCAACATACAAAGAAACAACAAGCAAACATCACATCATCCAAACGTCCGTCAAAATTAGAAAACTTTAAAAATTCACATTTTTTTCTATAACTAAATTTGCGCTAGCTCAAACTAAACTTGGTAAATTTTATTCAAATATTAAAATAATTTATTTTATTTAGTGTTTTCTATGCACAACCCAAAATCGGAAATTTTGGGGTGTGACAATTAGTACTAAAAATTAGCGGCTAAAATTATTACTAGTGGATCGATCCAAATAGACCTGCTAATAAACCTGCTCATTGGTAGCTGGAGGGCTGCTAACTATTAGTTTCATTAACAGGTTTGGAATTGTTGCTAGGTGCTATAGTTCATATGCATCTACAACGTAACTCATTATCCAATTACCTATTAGCAAGTGGATCCAAATAGCCCCTGCTAAAAATTAGCAGCTATTAGCTAGATAATTTTTAGTGCTAACGGATCCAAATGTGCCCTTAAAGACCTCTTGAGTCCAAAAGTCCTATTTGATATCCAACGCCAGAAAATTATATCCCCATAAAGATGTAGAGATAAATAAGTTCACCTCTGTCAAAATAAACATCCATATGCTATGCACCAATACTGCCGTGTTTACGGGAATGTACGTGTCTAGAAACTAACAACTCGCTATTCGTATGCTGTGATAATATTAGTAAGCATGCAAACCATAGCAATAACGACAAATAATTAGCTCGATCGCGGCCACAGCTAATCGTGTCAG